GTTGCGATTATTGAAGCAATTACACGCGATGGACGCGCTCCGAGCGTGGCCGAGTCCGCAGTGGTGAAGGTGTCTCTCTGCAGTAGGTGATTGCGTGGGACGGGTTCTTTGGGCCATTGAGGCGGATTCAGCACATCACCTACTGCAGCGGCCGACGCCGTGAAGTCGGCGTTCCGGGCCTCCATGGGGACGACGAAACGGCCGAGATCGGCACCGTGGGGTGGCCCTCCGCAGTAGGAGATGTACTCGATCCCACCGGACACATACTGGGGACGGGGCTCGGGCGGTGGTGTCGGCCCAGACCGCGTTTCTGGACGTGGGGGCCGGTTGGGCTGCCGCGCCACGTTTCTATGCGCGCGTTGGCGGTCGATGTTTTCGACGTCGATGGCCGAGCGGATCAAATGGGACGCCCGCGGTACATAGACGAACGATTCCCGACGCTCCGTGCGCTCGAACACGGTCGAAAAGGGTGCGGGGGACGCCGAAAACCCTCTTCCGACCCCTTGGGACGCCCCGCGCGCGATGCGGCGCAATCCTCGGGAGTGACATCCCGCGGGGAATGTGTCCGCAACAGGGTTCCGGTCCTCGCAGCCGCGGGGATCGTTGCGCAACTCTGCATCTGCGTCGAGCTACGGGCTGGAGAAGACGAGAATTTCGTCCATCGACGCTGCAAAAGGGCTGCTCGCAGCCTGATTGTTTGAGTTGCTTTTTCGAGGAATCGATCCAGTTGCTTTTTTTAGTTTTTAGCCCGGCGGGCTAGATGTTTCTGCAACAACAGCAAGGCTGCCCTGAATAGAAACGCCCGGATACATTAACCACGCTCTGCCAACGCGACGGCCGCCATGGACGTGCTCACGGTGCCCAAGGCGCCCATCGTGTCCCTCGGGGGCAAGTCGACGACGCCCGCGACGTTCAGCGAGAAGGTGCCCGGCCCGGGCAACTACGCGACGATCGGCGGCATCGGCCAGATGAACCCCCAGCTCCGGAGCTCGCAGCGGAGCAGCTTCGGCAAGGAGAT